AGGAGACCTGAGGAGTGAGGTAATGTGACAGTGGGGATGGCTGTCCAGACCATCTTGCTTCAGAGCCCACACACTTGACCATGCAATGTTTACTGGATTCTAAGGCCCTGTTACCAGAACTGTGGTCTCCACACCAGCAGTACTGGCTCCCCTAGGAGCGTGGTGGAAATGCAGACCTGAGTAAGATCTCCAGGTGACACTGCACTAGGCACTGTCCTAAGTGACAACAAATTAACCTCTTGCCTGCTTCAACTATCCTGCAATGAAAGCCTGCTTAGGAAGGAACTGAGAAAGAAAACAGGAAATGGATTATTTGAAGCTTAGGGAGCACTGACCTGGAAACATGGTGACAAGTGCCATGCATCCCTAACTAATCCTCCTTCCTGTTCCCACAATTAAGGTCCTAATGGTCCTCACCTGAGCTACTTGGTGACCAAACAGGTTGCTCCTCACATGTTCCTGCTACCAGTTATTGTTCTGAAGCACAGCTGGACATGGACTTTCCTCAGAACCCTGGAGTGGCATTCACCAGCTACTGATAGAGAGCAGGTGTTTTAGTATAGAATCCACAGCTTCCACAGCCTTCCCACCCTGTGGTTCTTCCCCTTCCCCTCAGTATGCTACTGCCACATTGGGCTTCCCATCTTCTTGAGTAAGCCCTGCTTTCTCCCTTCTTGATGCCCTTTGTGAACTAAACACCATTTGGTCTTTACTGTTTGTACATTAGCCCCTTCTGGGGATGCTTCCTTATCCATTTCTTAAATTAGAGAGAGAGAGAGTGTGTGTGTGTATATGTATGGCACCTGTTATCTAGGCAGTTTTAAATACTTAGGTCACATTGGTGAACAAAACATCAGAGCCCTAGTTGAGTTCATGCTGTGTTAAAATCAGGTGTGTTTTTTTCCTGTGCTGCCCCTTTACACTGCCCTTTCCTCAGCCAGACATTCATTCAGCCTTGGCATTTGTGCACTCCTGAGTACCATCTGCAGTATTTTAAAAGGGGAGAAAAGAATAAATCAGGTCTTGCTTTTGAGCTTAATACTGTTAAGGGAGGCTAATACAAGGTTGAGAATATGTCACATGAGGCAAAAAGGCTATAGGAATTCAGGACAATTAGGGACATTGGGGGAGAATACGTGTAGGTAATGTGTAATGATCAAACAGGGTAATTAGCATTTCTGTCTCTTCCACCATTGTTTCTTTGGTTCTAGTTCTTTATAAAACAGGTAATATATTGTGAATAGCAGTCACCCCACCGTGCGGTAGAACACAGAACTTATTTCTCCTATGCAACTGTATTTAGGGACCCATTATGCAACTTCCCTCAGTTCCTCCTGGCCCTGCCCTTGAGAGGTGACCTTTGAAATGGCCTTTTAAAAGTAGGAAGAAGGGCATACTAAATGGAGGAGACTTGACCAAAGTAGGATGCAAGTATACATGGATGTATAAACAGCAGTTCCTCCTGTTGGCTGGAGGGCAGGGTGTGAGAAGTGGAGTAGTGGGCTGGGGTCCAGCTGAGGGGTTTGGATTTTATTGATAAAGGGGAGCTGAGGAACGCTGAGCAAAAGACTGACCTGATTCAGCTGTGATTTGGAAACACTTAAGAGTTATGTCATGCTATTTGGGGGGAGTGGAGTGGGGAGTGAAATATATTAGAAGGTTTTTGAGGGAGACTATGCAAGAACCAGTGAGGGATTGGAGGCAGCTGCAGTGGGAAGGGAGGAGACAAGGTTACTAAGGTAGAATCAACAGATGTCACTCTTTGGAAGGTAGGGACCATGTCTTAATGGATCCCACATGAGGTGTTCACCAAATGTTTGTTGAATGAACAAGTATGGTGGGCATCACAGAACAGGCCGGCAGTGTTGTGTGATGGAGGAAGGGGGACTTGCTTATGCTTCCAGTCTCCCTTTGCTAATGCTTTCCCTCCTAACATCTTATCATTCTTTGTGTGACTACAGTGACACACCTGGTCTGTATGTTGAGGAGGGCCTTGGGAATTCTTTCTTGAGCTGCCCCTACCTCTTCGTAGGACAATAGCATTGAGCATCCTGACCCCATGTTGATCTTAGGTGGCCCTGAACCCCTGATGACTGCACCTTGCTGTTAGTCATCTGTGCTAGGGTTCTGGGTCTTGGCCTCCACTTGAGGAAGCCAAGTGCTGTCAGTTCACCCAAGAGGTACCCAGGCTTGGCAAATGGATTAAAAAGAAAAAAAGGGGCTGGGGATGTGGCTCAAGCGGTAGCACGCTCGCCTGGCATGCGTGCGGCCCGGGTTCAATCCTCAGCACCACATACAAACAAAGATGTGTCTGCTGGAAACTAAAAAATAAATATTAAAATTCTCTCTCTCTCTCTCTCTTAAAAAAAAAGCTACCTTGTGGGGCTCTGAGTTCAATCCCCAGTGCCACAAAAGATCAAAAAGAAATGCCCAAGGAGTTAGGGCCCCTCGGAGGCTACAAAGTCCTTTGTCACCATCCTGTTATCATTCCTTGTTTTTTTTTTTTAAATTCATCCCCGTAAGAGACAGATTAATAATTAAGAATAAAGGTAATTTAATTTATATCAAGGCTACACCTGGGCTGATATCTGGGAGTTCTGCTTGGGAAACTATATTATGGTACAAAGTGTTTCTTTTAAAAATAAATTTATAGGGCTGGGGATGTGGCTCAAGCGGTAGCGCGCTCGCCTAGCATGCGTGCCGCCCCAGTTCGATCCTCAGCACCACATACAAACAAAGATGTTGTGTACACCAAGAACTGAAAAATAAATATTAAAAAATTCTCTCTCTGGGCTGGGGATGTGGCTCAAGTGGTAGCACGCTCGCCTGGCAAGCATGCGGCCCGGGTTCGATCCTCAGCACCACATACAAAAAAAGATGTTGTGTCCGCCGAAAACTAAAAAATAAATATTAAAAAAAAAAATTCTCTCTCTCTCTCTCTCTTTAAAATAAATAAATAAATAAATAAATAAATTTATAAAATCAGCATGGGAATGATAGGTAGCTTTGGGAGCTGATAAAAAGGGCACTCTTCCTCAACAAACTGTGACCCCTGACCCATCTCCTAGAAATCAAATCCTCATCACTCTCACCCCCTCTAGCCTCAGACCTAGAAATACTCAGGTCTGTGCCCTGCAGTCTGTTTTAACAAGCACCCAGGGCAGACATGAACCACTCACATTTGAGTACCCCTGATTAGAGGAACTTTCTAAAACACTAAGACCAGCTGCTAAAATTACAACACTCTTCCCTCAGTACAGCTCATTAAATAGTAACATCTTCTTCCTCTCCAATCCATATTCTGTATTGGACATTATTATTTTATAATGTGATAAGCTACCAGCTTACCAGCATTTTATAATTTTTAATATATTGCACTGATCCTTGATGAGATCCTAGTGAGGTTCTTAATATCTTCAACACACATTCACAATTTGTCTTTTAGATGGTGTTATAAGAATTTCCAAAATGGGGGCTGGGGTTGTAGCTCAGTGGTAGAGTGCTTGCCTAGCATGTGTGAAGCACTGGGTTTGATCCTCAGCACCATATGAAAAATAAATAAATAATGGAGGAAATGGAGACTTACAAAACCCTCGGAAAAAGGGAGCTCTGCAATCTGACCTGTCACAATCTCCCTTATCTACCAAAATCCCCTCCCCACACAGTAAACCCACCAAAAGTAACAGACCAACTCCTCCCAGGACCTGGCCCTGCTAAATCCTGTAAAACTCAGACCCTTGTTATAGCCTGTTGCCATTTTCCCTGTTGAAAATGTGCCCCTCCGCTGTTTTTTGTTGCTCCGATGAGTTCTGTCTCCCTTTCTTTCCATATTTGTAGATGGACAACTGTTTATTTATATGTGGTGCTGAGGATCGAACCCAGTGCCTCCTCACCTGTGCAAAGCAAGACCTCTACCACTGAGCCACAACCCCAGCCCTCCCTTTCTTTTTTATTCTCTTTCATTTGCTTTCAAATAAAATAAAGATATGTGCCCATCTACAACTAAAAGAAAAAAAGAAAGAAAAAAAATTTCCAAAATGAATAATGCTAAATGTTGATTTGTTACCTTAAAGTAACACTCCTAATCTATCCCCAAATTCTAGAGGTGCATCATAGAGAGGATGATTCTTTATGTACTTACTATGTTAATTGACCACACTTACATTAGAATAAAATATTGGGTGAAAAAATTCTCTGCGTACCTCAAAAAACAAACAGAAACATACAAATAAACAAAACCTCCGATCTAGCATAAAGAATTTTCTGGCTTATTGGAAAAAGACCCTAAGATGAATAGGAGATGCAGAAAAAGCAGGGAGAAAAAAACCTGAGCTGCACACAGCACACGTGACTCTATGCGCGGGTGTGAATTCTTGGCGTTCAGAGGAAGGCTCTCCCCTTACAGAGAAAGAGAGCGTTCCGGATGGAGCGGGGTCGCAACTGGAGACAAGTCAACTGGCTGTGATCCTGGCCTGGAGCCAAGGCTAGCGGGATCCCCGGGTGCGAGCGATGGGCAGGTCGCACTGGGTGGACGGAGGGCTCCGGACACACAGCCACGACGCCTGCCCAGGGAGTAGGCCCCAGGATGAGTGACAGAAATACCGAAAAGGTGACACCGTACGAAACAGGACTTGGCGGAGGAGAGGCTTTTCTTTCTTTTTTTAAAATTGAATGAAACATTTCTCCTTAGGTCTATTCATTTGTTCTGCAAAACAAAATAAAAGGAGTTTTAAAACATACTTTCCCCACACTGATTAACGCCCCGCTCGTCAGCTGGAGGCGCTGGAACAGCGCGTCTCAATACGCTGCGCAGCGCGGGCGCGGCCCCTGCAGGTGCTGGGTCCCAGGGCTGAATTTCCCACGGGCTCCCTCGGCGGGCGCCAACCCAGGTGGGCGCGCGGCGGCCGCTCGGAGGGGCGCGGGGGGCGTGCGGTCCTACCGGCTGCAGGGGGCGCTGTGCGCGCCCTCGGGCGCTGCCGCCCGGCGCAGCTCTTTTTTGGCCCCCGGGGCACGTGGCTCGGGACGCAGCTCGCGGCCGCCCGGCGGGAGCTCCGAGGCTGGGCGGCACCCGCTCCTCCGCCGCCGCCCGCACCAGGCCTGAGGATCGCAGCCTAACAAGGACGCAGGCCGCCATGGCCGAAGCGCCGCCCGCGCGGGTAAGCGCCCCGGCTCGCGGACGCCGCCCGAGAAGGGCCGCCGCGGCCGCGTGGCCCAGCGCGAGAGACTCGGCGCGCCCGGCCGCGGGGGGACACTGGCTCCTCTGGCCCGGCCCGGCCGGTTGCCGCCCGCGGCTGCCTCCAGGCCACCGACCCCGCGGCCCAGCGCCAGGCCCGGCGCGCGGGGCCCCGACGGCGCGCGGCCCGCGACCTGTCCCTCCGGGGCCCTGCGAGGCCGGGCGCCTGCGTCCCGCCCCGACACGGCGACGGATCTTGCGAGTGACCCGAGTAGCTGTGTCCTTGTCCATTGTCTTTCTTGAGGCTCGCGTCCCGATCGGGCAGGGAGGGTGGGTGGCTGAGGCCCGGGACTAGACTGGCCCGCCGAGGCTGCGCACCTCCCCAGCGGGTGTTGAGCCTGGGCCAGGCCTGGACTGTGGATATCTAGTATTCTACTGGGTTTTACCTACGGAAGGATACTGGCCCCTGTTTACAACAGGTTTTCATTCCTTTTTTAAAAAAGGATTGTTTTTGCAGTTTTAGAATGCTGGTTTGAAATGTGCAGTATGGCCAATTCAGAGAAAATGATCCTTTGGGCATTTTTGACATAGTAGAAAAAACGCTTGTAAAGGACGTTTATCTGCTATTATTAACTATTATATCTACTACTGACACATCTCAGCCAAGTTTCTGAGACCCTCGTTTTCTTGGGTCCTTCTTAGGAGAACTTTGTCCCTGTGGCTGAGTTTTGAATGTGAGAGAGGGCTGGGGATTCTGCAGGTTTATGACCCTGTTCTTAGGAAACCCCTAGGAGGCCTTTCTGTACCTGTACAGGTGTCATCAGCCCCACCTCGCTGGAGCCTTCTTCAGTACCTTCCTGACTTTTCCTACTCATCTGCATCTTCCCCTCAGCCATCTTGCAGCACCTGAGAGCCAAGAAGCTCCCCCAACAGGACAGATTTGCTCAGGGACTTTGTCAGCCCATCCTGTCACATTGTTAGGTCTCAAATCTTGGTAGCCAGGAAATGAAATAGTATTTGCATATTACCTACAGCAATCCTCTACATCACCTCTAGATTGCCTATAATTCCTAATACAAGGGGAATGCTGTGTATATAGTTGTTATGCTCTTTTGTTTAGGGAATAATGACTGAATGTACACATTCAGTTCAGACCCAATTTTTTCTTTCCAAATGTTTTTACTTGGGTTTGGAGAATCCGTGGATGTGGAACCTGCAGATACAGAGAGTCAACTGCATTTCTCTACAGAATTTTTCTCTTGGAGAAGGAATAAACATCAATTTTTTGTGCACCCTGACTTTACTATGATAGGTGTTCACTCAGTATTACTGAATGCATTAATTATTAATTAATTTATTCAATCAAACATCTTCTGTGGGTGAGGCACTTTATGAAGCTGGGAGCACAGTGGTAAATGACACACACCCTCATGGGACTTATGTTCACATGGGAGAAAAACCATAAGACTGGTGGTGAGTTCAGATTATTAGCACTGTGAAGGAAGAGGCTGACAGGGACTTTTGGTCAGTGCAGCACTTGGGGAAAGGCTCTGTGAGATGGTGTTTAAGCGGAAACTATAAAGGTGAAGGGACTCAGGCCTGGAGAGGTGCATGGGAAAGCCCAGGAGAGGGTGAAGGAGAGCTGGATGCATCCCAGCTATGGAAGGTCATATGGCTGGAGTGTAGCAAATGACGGAGTATGTCAGGTTGGAGGGGCTGGCTGGATATTAAAAAGTTCACATTTTTTCTAGGTGCGCTGGGGAGCTACTGAAGAGTTTTCAGCAAGGACTGAAGTAGTCTAGTTTGTGTTTCAAAAGATTACTGACTATACTGTGGAGAGTGTATTATGGAGGAGAAGGTTGAAGTGGGGAAACCAGGTGGGTGGAATTGTAGTGGCCCAGGTGAAAGGTGACGGGGCTTGGCGATGGTGGTGGACAAAGAGAAAAGTGAATGGATTTGAGATAATTTCAGCAGTCAAACAAATGGGACTAGCTGTTGATGTAACCATGAAGTAGGCAAGGACACACTCCCACGATGTCAGCCTGTCTTTCCAGAAGCCTTTTAGCAACGCAAACCAGCATTGGGGCATTGTACATGTTCAGTGAGGACTTGCACACCATACTCCCAGCTAAGCTGAGGCCTGCAGGGCTTTTTTTCCAAGCTGCTGAAGAATGATGGAATGTAAGATGGAGGGAAAAAAGGCCATGTGACTATTTCCTAGAGTATCCCTGAGCCAGAGCATGGCCTCGTCAACATCATCATCTTAGCCAGCTGCTATAACAAAGTATAATAGACTGGTGGCTTAAACAGCAGAAATTTTCCTCCTCACAGTTCTGGAGGCTGGTAGTCCAAGATCACAGTGCCACTGATTTGGTTCCTGGTGGGGACTCTTCCTGGTTTGCGGTTGGCTGCCTTCTCATCATAGTCTTACACCGTGGAGAAAGATATCATTGCTTTCATGTCTCTTCTTTCAGGGCACCAGTCCTATTCCACCCACCATGTGCCTCCCAAAGGCTGCACCTTCAAATGCCATCCATCATATTGGAGATTAGTGCTTCAACATGCAAATCTGGGGGAGACCCAAATATTCAGTCTGTAGCTATCACCGTTGTTGTCTTAGCCCCATCAATACAGGACTCACATTATTATTTTTTTTAACACAATACCTTTATTTTGTTTGTTTATTTATTTTTATGTGGTGTTGAGGATTGAACCCAGGGCCTCGTGCATGCTAGGCAAGCACTCTACCACTGAGCCACAACCCCAGCCCCCGTTATTTGTTATGTGAAATACATTACACTGTTTTTTTTACAAAAGATTGTCTCATCATTTTTCAAAATACTATTATGTAGACACTGTTGTTCTAGATATTCTATTTTCTAGATGTGGAAATGAATTCTTTGGAAGGTGTTTTAAAAACCATGCCTAAAGTCAACCAATGTGTGGGTGTGGCTTGGGAGCTCCTTGCAGGGCTCATGTTCTTTCTCCCTGTGATAAGCCTTGCCCCTTCATTCTCAGGAATGAGATTGGGGAGTCACCTGAGATTGTCGATGCTTTCCTTCTTTGGCTGTTTTTCCTCCCGTTTACCACCTGCCAACACCCTGGTGCAGCCACCATCTCCAGTTACCAGAGCTGGACTCCTGCTTGATGTTCTGGCCTCCTATCTTCTCCACTTTTCCGCTGTTTGGCCAGCAGGATCCCAGATGGGGCTGCACTGGAGCAGGAGTCATTCTGAGTTTGGAGTTGGAAATTTTGATTGTATAATTTTGGTAATATCTCTCTTTTCTCTTATTTTGAGCAGATTCCAGGGGGGGACAAGCGAATGGAGGACCAGAGACCTCTAACACCTCCGTCGCCCCAGCCAGCTGCCGAGAAGAACTCATACCTCTACTCCACAGAGATCACGCTGTGGACAGTGGTGGCTGCCATTCAGGCCTTGGAGAAGAAGGTGGATTCCTGCCTGGCCCGCTTGCTGACTCTGGAGGGACGCACTGGGACAGCAGAGAAGAAGCTGGCTGATTGTGAGAAGACGGCCGTGGAGTTCGGCAACCAGCTGGAGGGCAAGTGGGCCGTGCTGGGGACCCTGCTGCAGGAGTACGGGCTGCTGCAGCGGCGGCTGGAGAACGTGGAGAACCTGCTGCGCAACAGGAACTTCTGGATCCTTCGGCTGCCCCCTGGCAGCAAGGGGGAGGTCCCCAAGGTAGCCTTTGGGTGCCCTGGAGTGGGGAGCCCCCTGGGATGTGCCTGTAAGTGTGTGGGTGATCGAGTGTGACACTTGTGGTTCCAGGTGCCCGTGACCTTTGATGATGTGGCCGTTTACTTCTCCCAGCCTGAGTGGGGCAAGCTGGAGGACTGGCAGAAGGAGCTCTACAAGCATGTGATGAGGGGCAACTATGAGACACTGGTCTCCCTGGGTAAGGATATGTAGGGGTCTCTGGGCCTTTGTCCGAGGTTGGGCTCTTGCAGTCTGTCTTTGCTTTGCTTCTTTTACTTTGGACATCAGAGCCTCTCCATGGATATATGGGACCCAGATCTTTACCCATCCTGTCCCTGTTCTGTATGCAGATTATGCCATCTCCAAACCTGACATCCTCACCCGGATAGAGAGAGGAGAGGAGCCTTGTCCTGAAGACCAGCAAAGCAAGGAGAAGGGGACTGAGGAAGAGGCCGCATGTCCAAGGAGGCTGGACACTGGTAAGTGGGTATAAGAGGGAGTGACTGGGGCATAGTGGACCACAGGCTCACCTCCTAAGTGTCCAGATAATCTGAGAACTGGGAAGGGAGCACAGACCCTTATCCCAGAGTGGGCTGCTCTCCAAGGCCACCCCAGGTGGGGGCAGGTGCAAGACTTCTTTTTAGAGCCCTGTGGTTTCGGATCTGTAGGAGGGGTAGTCACAAAGGGAAATGTAGAGCATGGGAACGTTCTTGTTCCATGATAAATAGGGCTGATTATCACTGATGTGACAGTGCAGTGACATCGCCATCACTTCTTGATGTCTTCCGTGCTGTCTGTGTCCACCTGCCCGTTTCTGCTCCCCAGCTTAGCCTGCATCAGGAAGCTGCTGTGGCACTAGGGTTCCTTTGTGAGAAGGAGGCTGGGGCTGGATCCTCCTATAGCCACTCTCCAAAGGTGACACTGCCTATCAGAATCCTCTGGGGGACTCTTTTTTTCTTTTCTTTTTTGCAGTGCTGGTTATTGAACCTGGGGCCTGGTGCATGCCAGACAAGCACTCTACCACTGAGTCATGTCCCCAGCTCTGGGGAACATTTTTGAATATAAAAAACAAATAAATGAAAGCAGAGAGAACAAGACAGTAAACCTCCAAATTATCGCTGGGACTTAACATGATCTTGTTTCTTCAACATTTGCTTCATCTGTCTCTTTCCTTTTTGTACACACAGCCATGATACCATTTTTATACCCCTTCCCCTAAAAAACACAACAACAACTAATGATTGGTCCTTGTTCTCTTTCCCTCAACAATGTTTTCAGTAGGGTTTGGACCCTAATATCATAACCTAAAGTCCATGCATTGCATTTGATTTATTTTTTTTTTCCTTTTAAACTTTTTAATATTTATTGTTTTTTAGTTTTCGGCGGACAAACATCTTTGTTTGTATGTGGTGCTGAGGATCGAACCCCGGCCGCACGCATGCCAGGCGAGCGCGCTACCGCTTGAGCCACATCCCCAGCCCCCATGCATTTGATTTATAAGTGACTTTTTTTTTTTCTTGGTGCTGGAGATCAAACCCAGGGCCTCTTGCATGGCAGTCTAGTGCTCTACCACTGAACTACATCCCCAGCCTGTTTTTTAAATCTATAAAAAGTCATCCCCCTTTTCAACAGCTTCATTGAGATATAATTTATACACCATAGAATTTCTCTATTAAAGCATACAATTCAGTGGTTCTTGGTATATTAAGAGATGTGCAGCCATCACCACAATCTAACTTTAGAACTTTTTTTTTTTTTTTTTTTTTTTTTAAAGAGAGAGAGAGGAGAGAGAGAGAGAGAATTTTAATATTTATTTTTTAGTTATCCGCGGATACAACATCTTTGTTTTGTATGTGGTGCTGAGGATCGAACCCGGGCCGCACGCATGCCAGGCAAGCACGCTACTGCTTGAGCCACATCCCCAGCCCCATAACTTTAGAACTTTTGTGTCCTATCAAAAGAGACCCTTGGGGCTGGAGTTGTGGCTCCGTAGTAGTAGAGCACTTGCCTAGCATGTGTGAGGCACTGGGTTCGATTCTCAGGACCGCGTATAAATAAGTGAATAAAATAAATGTCCATCAACATCTAAAAAAAAAAAGAGAGACCTGTACCCATTAGTAGTCACTCCCTGCTGCCCTCCCCCCTGCCCAGACCCTCTCAGCCACTAGCCTGCCTTCTGCCTCTGGAATTTGCCTATTCTGATGTGTCACATAAATATAATCATATAATATGACCCTTTGTGTCTGTCTTCTTTCACTGAGCATAATGTTTTCAAAGTTCATCCATGTTTTAGTCTGAGTGCTTCATTTCTCTTGTGACTGAATAATATTCCATTTTGTGGACATACCACACTTTGTTTAATCATTCATTAGCTGATAGACACCACCCATGCCATTTATTTTTTGTCATTTTATTGTCATTTATCTGTGTGTGTGTGTGTGTGTGTGTGTGTGTGTTACAGTGGATCGATCCCAGGACTTTGCATATACTAGGCAAGTTCTCTACACTGGGTTACACCCCCAGCCCTTTTAAAAAGTTTTAATTTTGAGACAGGGTCTCACAGGCCTCAAACTTACTATCCTCTTGCCTAACCCTCCCAAGCAGCTGGGATTACAGGTGTGCACCACTGTGTCTGGCTTATTTTACATCTTTTTAATGCTATTATTTCCCACATTTTGGATTTGGTGTCATTAACATGGTCTCTTATTTTCTGCATTTCCTACAGATTGGGAGGTGGATTAGCAGTTTATGTAGACTCAGGTTCCGTGTTTTTGACAAGACTTCTTCAGAGGTGTTGCTGTGTGCCCCTTACTCCTGTGGGCCAGCAGGCGCTGGGGTCTGGTTGTCTTTTTTATTGAGATCATCAGCTTCATGCTTCTGTTATGAAGTTCCTGACAGCTTTTCACCAGTGACTTTAATTAGCCATGGAGATTGCTGCCTGGCTTCATTATTTCATTAAGGGTAGCAAAATAGTGAAAGTGTCATTACTTCTGTTCTTAAAAGCTAAAGCTCTTTTGTGATGAATAGTTCCTCTAATCAATCCTTTTAGTTACCCTGAACTACAGTACAGAAGAGGCAGGATAGATGCTTTACTCTTTCCTACATCAGTTTTTTGAATGATGACTTTTCTGTCTTTGTAGCCTCCAAAGGCGGCCAAAGGCTTGGGCTTTTTGTTTTGTGTTGTTTTCAAGTATTATGACTTCTCAGATTTTTAAATATTTTGTTTGTGCCAGTCCTTTGTAGCCATTATTTTCATATTTAAATTGTACCATCTTTGGCAAGTGGAATCGTTTTCAAGTTTTGCCCAGAGGTCATTTTAACATGACCTTGATGAGTTTCTGACACCTTAAGATACACGAGATTTGTTTTGTGTATTTCCTGCCCTGGGCCTGGAATCAGTTTCTCCGAGGATTTTCTGTTTTGTCTGCGGAAGAAACCCAGGGCCTCCACGTGCTGTGCAAGTGCTCTGCCACTGATGTCCACCCCAGCCCCTCGTCAAGAAGTTTTTATTGTTTTTAGTGAAGCATGGTATTTAGAGACCCTAGATGAGTGCTAGTTATGAATTTTAGGTGTTACTTCTGGGTGTTTTTTTCTGTTTATATCCCTGTTAACCATTTGTGTGGCTGTTTTTGTTCGTGTCTTATGTTTTTCTCTTGGAATGTTAGATAGACCTAGTTGATTTGCTGTCTCCATGAGGGCTGGAACTTTGCCTTATTCACTGACTATGTGCTTCCTGCTTACTGGTTTATTATAAAGGATACAGGTGAAGAGAGACAAAGGGTGAAACCTGGGGGAAGGGCACGGGGCTTTGACTCCCTCTCTGTTGTGCCACCATCCTGGGACCTGCATGTGTTTAGCTATCTGGAAGCCCTAAAAATATGCATTTGGGGGTGGGGTACTAGGGATTGAACTCAGGGGCACTTGACCACTGAGCTACATCCCCAGTCCTATTTTATATTTTGTTTAGAGACGGGGTCTCACTGAATTGCTTAGTACCTTGCTTTTGCTGAGGCTGGCTTTGAACTCTTGATCCTCCTACCTCAGCCTCCCGAGCTGCTGGGATTACAGGTGGGTGTCACCATGCCTGGCAAAAATATGCATTTTTGAAAAGAAATGAGTTCATATAGACATTCCTGATTCAGATTTAATCTCTGATTTTATAAACTTGTATATCACTTTTTAAAAAATTTTACATTGTAATGTTACATTCCCACCTTTATTAGCATAATAACTTATTTGAGTCTTTTTATATCCGATCCCAACATTTTTGTAGTAGATTCTGTAGTATCTATAATTTCAAAATAATGTATCCAGTATTACTATTAATGTTTAGGCTTTTGTTTGCAAAATAAATAAGCCCTCTTTTAGGGAAATTATTAAAGTAAACTTGTGTCCTCTTGCCCTCTAATATGGGTCTCCATGCTCAGAACATTTCCATTTAAAAAAGAAAGAAAAGATTTGTACATTGCCAAACTTAACTCTAGGCACATCATTTTTATCGTTCTCTGGGTCTGTTTTTTCGGTCCCTAAGGAGCTGAGGGTCTGCCTGCACCAGGGACAGAAGTGTCACTGGCAAAATCCAGGTTATCTTGAAGAGGATGCAGCTCTCTCTCCTGCTGTGCTTTCAAAATAATAGCCTCTCCACCTCTCTTTGGGGCCTCTCTTTGCTTCCCTCACTTAGTGGAATGTGGGGGAGGGGCCTGGTGACCAGGGTACACATGGGTCTTCTGATGACCAGAGTGCATCTTGGGCACCCCTCTGCTTAGAGCACCACAGTGTGCAGCACTGCTCTGGCTCTGAGGGTGCTGTTCTTTTTTTTTTTTTTTTTGGTACCAGGGATTGAGCTCAGGGGCACTCGACCACTGAGCTACATCCCCAGCCCTGCTTTGTATTTTATTTAGAGACTGGGTCTCACTGAGTTGCTTAGGGCCTTGCTTTTGCTGAGGCTGGGTTTGAACTTGCCATCCTCCTGCCTCAGCCTCCTGAGCCGCTGGGATTGCAGGTGTGTGCCACTGCGCCCGGCTTAGTGCTGTTCTCTTGTTCACTCTGCATCCCCAAATCTGACTGCACCAGGATTTAGCTCTCCTTTCCACTGTCATTAAGTCACTTTCTATCCTTGGGGGTTTTTGAGAACTGTCAGGATTTCATATTTTGATTTGGACCTTTCTTTTTCTCACTCTTGAGGCTTGATCTTGCACAGCCTTACGTCCGTGATGCTTTGGCTGGTTTACGAGGATGGGCACTGGGTTTCTCTTTGTTCTAGGAAGGGTCCAAAGATGAGGTTTCGGATGACCCACTGACATTTCACTGTCCCATTTGTCAGGCTTTCTATGGAAGCTGATGACTATTCTGTAGATAAAGTCTGCTGAACAATGTGACCAATTGGTATCCAAGGTCGTGCCCTTGTTCAAGAGGGGAATTGGTAGCAGCATTACCAGTTACAAATCCAGCTGAATTCTTCTTTTTCCCCTCTGATTACACTCAGTTGGTGTTAACCATTTGCCTTTGAAAAGAATGCCATTGGAGGGCAAGCAGACAGGCCCTGCTTGGGTTGCTTTTGTCTCTGAGGAACCTTTGTTCTCTGGATCCTGCAATTCTGGAACAGCCACTGTGGGTTCCGGGTGTGGAGGTGGAGCCTCTTTCCCGTGGTTCTGGATTGCCTGTGCACATCTGTGCTGTCTGATTGCTCACCACTCAGCACGCATGGCCTGGTGCTGTAGGCCTCCGGCTGAACTTGTGTTGGATGGTGGATTCATCAGCCTTCACCGTCAGCCTTTCACTCATCATGCATTTCATTCTCTTCATGGGTATTTTCCTTAAAAAAAAAAAAAAAAAAAAAGTAGAGTTCCATTTCTACTGGGAGGGGCACATGTAACATGTGCTCATTTGGGGGCTTGTGATTTGACAACTTCAGTGACGGCTGAACTGTTGTGACTTGCGGGGAGGCAAGCCTCGACAGACATTTTGTGTAGACTTGAATAAGAGGACAAGTGTAGGGTGAAGCATTGTCTCAAAAGGGAATACTTCACTTTGGAAACTCGGGAACCTTCAGGGCCACATGTGCGGTGTATATTTTCTGCCATGCCTTTGGGCTCTCTGATGTTGTGGAGAGCGGGCTGGAGTGGGGGCCAGCAGCCACCATGATGGCTGGTGGAACAGACAATACTGTGTTTCCTCTCCCTACCCTAAACAGCAGCCCTCTGTCATGTCCTGGCTGCTAATCCTGTGTCAATTATCACACTATGCAGTCCTCCTGGACATGAGGCTCTAGAGGAGAATCTAGCGGCTGGATGACAGGTGAAGCCATCTCATCATCACACTCAGTGTTTGGTCTGATGTCCCAGGTCTCTGGGACTCTGCATTTACACACTTCCCAGACGGTCCCTGACCATCTGTTTGGGAGATCTCCATGTTGTGCTCAGTGTCACTGGTTTGCATTCCTTAGGTCTCCTTCCATATCCAGAGCAAGCCCCCAGCCCAGTCAGCCATGCCCAGGAGGAGCCCAAAGAAGGGCAGGCCCCTCAACACCAACAGAACGAAGAAGCAGGAGTGACCCCACCCAGGCTGGGCACTGGTGAGTGAGGGCAGCCAGGACAGCAACAAGAATGGTGTCTTCTGGCAGTGCATGAGTACCAAACACAAGCCGTGCTAGAAGTTCAGCAGGAAAGATAGCTGGGGATGTGACTGGGCTGAGCTGGACGGGCTCCTGGGAAAGGGGCTCCTGAGGTAGACCCTAAAAGAAGGTAGGTTTTGGATTTTCGGTGCAAGAAAATATCTGCATGGAACTTTTGGGGAGGGATGTGGATTGAGCCTCTTGGGGCTTCTTCCAGTGGTCCTATCAATAAGGCAGTTTATGTCTCATGCCTAGCACAGTGCTGGGTGGCAGGCATGTTGTAGGTGTCAGTAAACATCCTCTTTCTGAAGACCTGCTGAGAACACTGGTTTTAGTCACCTCTCCCAAGTTCTGTTTGCTTCTGTTCACAGGCAGTTCCTGCCATCCTGAGCTGGAACTGTAACTCAGAGGACACTCAGCAGAGCATGTGGCCTCTAATCCCGAGAGTCGCTTTCTGTCTCAGCGCACACTGGCTCCTCTGGCTCCTCCTCCCTATTCTTCCTTCTTGCAGCTGGCCCAGCTTCAGTGTGTTGCCTTCTCCCCCGTGGTTTCTTTGTATTTCCCCCACTGAATGTGACCCTCTGCAGGTAGAAGTGAAATCCCTTCCTTCCTGTGTGCTCCTTCCTGGCCAGTGTATAAGTTTGGATTCAGCTCATGGAATCAGTCAGGTGGGACCTTCTCAGACAGAGGAGGACAGTATCCCTGCCCATCGCAGACCTGAGACTCTGCTCTGAGGCCTCCCCAAACCCTCTTTCCTTTTGAGGACCATCAGGGTGATAGTCAGTTGCAGAGGGACAAACTGTGAGCCTAAGTTTGTGGGGAGATTATGGTTGTGGCCTTCATATCTCTCTTCTTACCTCTGCAGTCAACTGGACTGAGGCCTGGGGGTCACTGTTCCTGGCAGGCCCTTGGGTATGGCCAGAGCCTGCTGAAGAGGTGGTCATGCCACTCTGCAAGAACCCCATGTCAGGAAAGCCCCATGGGATTCTCTGTCTTGCAGGACCTCCAGCAAACACCAGCATTTTGTCCTCAATTAAACAGGAGGGAGAATCTTCAGAGGGGGAGTCACCAGCTTCCCCTCCCAGGGACATCATGTCCAGTCTGGGGCCAGGTGAGTAAATAGGCAGCACCTGTCACCAAGGCAGAGCCTCACACAGCTCAGAGGGCCCTTTGGGAGTAGCAGGGGTCTGGGGATGAGACCTGGTGAAGGGCTTCGTCCTGAGGCTTCCCTCCTCCTTCCCTCCCCAGGTGTGACCCACAGGCCCAGTCAGCCTGTGGTCCTAGTCTTCTCCCTTGGTCTGGGCTGGCTGGGAATCCCCCGCTGGGAATAGGCTGCGGGCTACCAGGCTGTGGTCAAGGGTGACCAAAAGGATGTTCCGCTTTGATTCCAGCCTCTCAGCAACCCTGTGGAGTGACGCCGGCTTTCAGCCTTTATTTTATTTATAGATATGTGATGCTGAGAATCAAATCCAGTGCCTCACACATGCTAGGCAAGCGCTTTGCCACTGAGCCCCAGCCCCAGCCCGAGAATAAGCTTTTTGCTGTTATCCTGGTGGCTCTGGCCTCACTCAGTCCTGCCTGAGTCAGGGGATACCTGCACTGAGACCCAGGCAGGAATCATAGGCTGCCTTGCAGGGTGCTCTCTGCACACAGAAAGCAGGGTGTGGGCAGGTAGTAGGGATTGGCCCATTTGTTATATGGATGAGGGATTGTGTGAGGTTAATTCACTGGCCTCCTCCAGGCTGCTGGGGTCTCTCACCTCGTCCTGAGGTAATGGGGGCCCACGGGTTCCTTGTGCTTTACAGATCATAATTACTGACTTCAGAACTCTTAGGGTCCTGCCTACTCCTCTGCCATGGCCCAGGATCTCTCTTCCACCTTCCCACCTACCTATCTCCTACCATCTGTCTTCTGACCCCAGGGACTATCTGGCAGCTGTTTTTTTGTGGCTTACTTTCCTCTCTCCTGGTTCCCCAGCTCAGCCTCCAGGAGTGAGGAGTAAGATAGCAAACAGGACTGAATGATGGGACAGGGCAGTGCCTGCTTGGTGAGGCCCCATGAGCAGGACCCCTTCCCATGTTGTGGGCCCTTGGAGGAGAAAGGATTCAGGGGAGGTGGGAGTAGGACTTGGAACCAACATAGATTCCTTTGCCAGGTGGTGGTGGCATGGCCATCAAGACAGAAGCTCAGTCTGAGGACGAGATGGTGCCTGAGCAGCTCCGCCTGGGATCCCCAAGCCGGACCAAGTGTAGAACACCTAGAGGGCCTAGGAACAGGACTGGAGGCCCTAGGCGGCATCACGCCCAGGGGAGGCCAAGGGTGCGCACTGGGGAGCCTCGGCCACCAGGGGCCATTGGGGAGACACCCCGCATACTCCCTCGCCGGCGGGAACGGACCTTCCCCTGCCCTGACTGTGGGCAGAGCTTCCGCTTGAAGATTAATTTGACAATCCATCAAAGGACTCACGTGGAGGAGGAGCACAGGGAAGCTCCCGGGGGCTCACCCACCAGATGGGGGGAAGGCCACTCTACGCTGGAGCCAGGGGAAGTGGTAGTGCCTGGCCCTGTCATCCGTTGGCTCCCCGAGGAGCCCGCGGGCCACCATTCCCTGGGAGGGCGTGCCTTCATGGGGCGGAGGCCCACAGCCACCAAGATTTACCACTGCAGTGAATGCCTGCGCTTTTTCCAGCAGCGGAAGAGCCTTCTGCTTCACCAGCGCCTGCACACAGGCAACAATCAGGGCTGGCCTGCCTGTCCCTACTGTGGCAAGGCCTTCCGCCGGCCCTCGGACCTCTTGCGTCACCAGCGTATCCACACTGGTGAGCGACCCTACCAGTGCCCCCAGTGTGGCCGGGCCTTCAACCGAAACCACCACCTGGCTGTGCACATGCAGACTCATGCCCGGCATCGGGTGGGCATGCATTTCCCTGTGCCTTCTGCAGGCCACGGGAGCTCACCCCCGCAGGGTCGCAGCCATGCAGAGGAGGGCTGACCAGGCAGGAGCCTGCAGGGCATCCTCTTGTCTTCCTGCATCCCTGGCAGGACCTGTGCTCTATCTTTTAGGGGCTTTCCCTTGTGCCTGATGCTGGTCCCTTATTCTGGGATGTCTTGGAGAGAGTTGTTTTTTTATTGTTTCCCTTATTCAAATGGAAAGCAGTGGCCCTTTTGATGATACCATATATATATGCGACAAGGTACCTCTACTTTCTCTTTCCTAAGGGTGTCACTCTGTGCTATCTTTTTCTACATTCTTGACCTGCAAAGGGTCCCTGAAGGCTTAAACAACACCAGTTTTTGGTGTAGCTTTTGACTGGTGCTACAGTCAAGATGATCAGAGACTGTGGTCCTTTCAGAATGGACCATAGAGACTTCAGGGACTGGGAGTGACTGCACAGAGGTCTGTCTGCGCTCCACATGAGAAAACAGCAGAGAGTACAGGACACAAGAGAAGGCACTCAGAATTTGCATTTTCTACTTTTGTTAGCTTGAGACTTTTTTTTCTTTGAATGAAGACTTTGTAATGTGTTTGTAAGCGTTGTGTGTAGTTGCAAAGAGGACCAGGAGCTCCTGAGGGCAGGAATTCTGCCACTTCCTTTGTGGGTCTGGCAGGGCAGGAAGAGGGTTTTGATGGGCAGAATTTGGCTGCTGTCTTAGAAGCAGAGCTTCTCTCCAGGTTTATGTTTCTGAGCTCCAAGTGACTCCCAGTCTTCCTAGTCCTTCCCTCACAGGGCAGTCTCATCTGTTATTTACTTTTGATATCAGTTAAAAGAGGAAAGGAAATCAGGTGTGGATGGCCTCCCCTGCCAGATCTCAGGATTCATAGGTGTGCATGATCCATTGACTGGACCCAGAAGATGTCTTGAGGGTGCTGCAGAGTCTTGTGAGCCCAAGACCTTCCTCAAGGGGAAGACTGACTGGGGGAGGCTGGGGAGTCTGCCTGGACTCTCCAGGCCTCGTTTCTCCTGGTAAAGAATTTGGGGTCTGGTGCTGAGTAGGGCTAGGAGGTTGGGGAATCCTTCAGCCCCCTCTAGGCTCACATTCCTTGTCTGTCAAAGGGTAACAGCTCCAGTGCATCCCACCTCATCTAGGAGCTGTTGGCACTGAATTTAGAGACTGCACAAATAAGACGCTTGGTGATATTCTTAGTTTCAAGTTCAGGGCATCCTATTTTTTTTTTTTTTTCCCAGTGATTTCCTGCTCAGGCAGAATCCCCTGGGAAGAGTGAGGGTTAGTGCCCTTGTACCAAAGCATTGGTCCATGACCTGTTTTTGATAGTATGCTATTGTCAGGCTGCACGGAGAAGTCTTGATGCCTAGTTTCTCATATTCCTTAATCACACCACCTTGGGTGCTGCCTACAGACCAATTGGCTGTGGGTTCTGGGTTCCTGGCAACTTCCTGTTGTCCTCACCCCTTTTCCAAAGTCCCGAATGGAGTTGGGGGCAGATGGTAACATTGCCATCATCCCTGGGAAAGGGGAAGGATAAAAGTCTGACAGGTTAGCCAAGATCCTGAAGAGGCACCACCTGTTTGAGCCTCCTGCTTGTCTGGAGCCCCACAAGTCAGAGACAAATGTCAGCAAGTGCGCAGGCAGGATGTGGTACAAGTGTGGCTGCTTAGCTTAACCCTCAGCTACAAGAGCTAGGCTCAGATATTCTGGTGGTGCCTCAGGGCTCAGAATTTTAAATTCTAAAATTTTAAATGCTAAATGCACTCTGTAAATACAAGCATTCAATTGCAAGGCTCAGGTGTTTTTCCCTTATTTTCAAAGCATTCAGTGCTCAGCTTTGGGCTAGGCATATTGGGTTTGCCTTGTCACTCAATAGAACGTGTTTAAAGAATGTTCCTTAGGTTGAAATGAACAGTGGAGGCTAAAGGTGCAGTAGCCCAGTGGTGCCCCACAATCGGGAGGTGGGAGCCCTGGTTGGGTCCCAGACTTACCCAGCTCTGGGCCTCAGCGTCCTCATTTGTGAAACAAAGAACTGGTTGGGTCTTAAGATTCCTTAACAACTGTGAAGGTGGCAGTCTCCTGCTTTAATCGGTGCTTAATAAACATGTTGGCATAAATGATTGTGCACGTGACCTGGTTTCTTTTTTGTAGGAAGTGAGCGGACGCACTGGCCAGTCACAGCTGGCGACGCCCGTGGGTTGTCTGGCCCGGGTAAGGGCAGCCCCTGCACCCCACACTCACACCTGCCCTCGCGCGCAAGGCCGGGGCGCAGGCTGCGGGACGAGCTTCCCGGCCAGCCAATGAGGCGCAGACTCCGGGCCGCAGGGGCCTTACGCACTCAGGCTGGGGGTGGAGCCTCTCAGGTCGGCCAATGGGGAGCCAGCTCTGCGTGGAGGCGGGACCCAGCTTGTGGCTCTGCGGCCGGGTGCCTGGAAAGCGGCGCTCCTGCTCCGACCTGGCTTTCTATCTTGCGTCTAGGAACGTTTGTGGCTCCGCGGTGCCGGGTCTGTGTGGCGAAGGCAGGGCCCAGCTCACGCGCCAGCGGAGAGGACCGGGCGGGCCGGCCTGTGTGGGGCCACGCGCAGCGGGCGACAGTGACTTCCGAGCCTGACTGTACAGCGCAGGACCATGGCCCAGGCGGCTCCGGTAAGGACGCCCCTCAAAGTGGATGTGGGGGCTTGGAGCCGAGTCCTGAATTCGTCAGGATGTCCTTCCGGCCCTGCCACCTTCCGTAGTGGGAAGGATGCGTAGGGCCACAGATAAAGTCCCTTCTACTTGACCCCAGTTTCCTCGTGTAAAGAATAGAGCACTCGGATTTAACCACGAGATGCCTGAGGTCCGGTGCGCTGGCTCTGTGGGACCAGGTGTCGCGGGAGGGAATGTGGGTGTCCTCACTCCCAAGGCTCTCCAAGGCTTCTTTTCCTGGACGTGACCTTTAGGGACCAGCCCCCCACCCCCACCACTATTGACCATCTCTGAGGGACTTTCCACCCCATTATCTAATCTTTTTTCCAAGCTAGTGTTACCGCTGTTTAGTGGTGACAAGTCCTTGCTTCCCCAATGCTGAAGTATAGCACCAGAGAAGCACGCGGAGGAAAGTGGAGAGTGGAAAGCAGAAGGCTTTACTAAAGGACAGCAGAAAAGACTTCTCCTCCGAGGAAGAAGGGGACCCGAAAGGCGGAATCCGTGGAAGTGGGGGAAGGTCTTCCCTTTTTTATAGCGAACGTCTTCTTTTAGTCTGTCTTCCCACATTCATGTCTTTTGTTTCCCTTTTTCTTGCAGTGATAGAATGCAGGTGGGAGATTTGGTGGGCTGAAGGAGTAATCTAGGCTGGAAGGGCCTGGGGTGGTTTTTGATTAGTACCTCTCTGTTTGCTGGGAGATGCTTCATTAACAATTCTTTAGGATGGGTTCCAGGCCTTGGGGGCATTAATATTTCAATTTCCCCTAGTGCTGCTCTGCTTTCCTGGATTCCATTCTGGTAATGGTCTCCATTTTCTTTATCTTATTGGATATTAGACCCGATTTACCTAACTACACTAACTACCTAACTGTAAATCTGGCTTCACCAGGTCTAGTGCCACCATCTGGGGAGGGTATATTTGTCTCATCAGGCCCTCACATCCTCCTGGGAGCCAATCTTATCCCTACCTTGAGAGTACCATGAAGGTCTTCCAGACCTGAGCTCCAGTCAGGATAATTCCTGCTGGAGCTTGCCCTTGTTTTCCAAGATTCCCTGGGAAGTCCCTAATACAGTTACTGGGAATAGATTTGCATTATGCACGTATTATGCATGGTTAGTGTTTTAGGCTCAGGTTTGACCTAGGCCCTCCGTGACTGGTGTGAATAAACTGTTGTGTTTTTTTGTGTCTCAGAAGATAGAGGACATCTCCTGGTAGCAATAGCTTTGCAGAAATTTTATTGACATTCCTGAATGTCAAATTTGTGGCCGGGCACTGTAGAGAGATAAGGATGTTTGCCCCAAATCTGTGAAGACGATCTGCCTTCTCCTGGCTACACTGTGTTGTATGGGTCAGGGGCCAGACTAAGGGATGGCCCCTTGTGCTGTAAAAGGTGGAAGGAAGGGACAAATGCCTGGTGACTAGTAGTTTGTACGTGTGGGACACTTTACTGAGTTGTGTTTGGGAAGAGGACTTGGTCCATGATCTGTTTTTAATAGTATGCTATATGTTGTTATACATCCTGAGTGCTTTTCCATAACTCTAGTGCATTCCATCCACACCATCCCCTTAGGAGGTAGCAGAGCTATGGTGTCCCTAAAAGTGAGAAAATAGAACCCTAGAGAAGGGATTCACCTCTGGTTGTGCATGATTCCGATGATAGGTTAGAAGTTGGTTCAAGGTCTAGTAGAGCTCCATTCCAGGAGTGCTGCCATTATACCTTAGCTGCCCCCTACCCCCACTAAGGCATTCCTGGGATTTTTATTTTGTTATTTCTAGTAATGCATGATACAGTGTTCACCTTCTGTGGGCAGGTTATTTTTTTTGACTATTTCCTTATTCTGACTACTCTAAGGTGCTATCATTTGTCTTTTTCTGGTCCCTGATCCCTGGCAGCTGGGTATGGCCTCCCAGTGTAGTAACAATTACCTTGAGGGCTGGTCTGGTCTACTAGGCGCCTGGGCTACAAGCACCCAGTTTCCTAGGTAGGGTAGGAAGTCACACACCGGCAGATATCAGGTGGAAAGGCCTTCAGGATTATCAAAGTCAGAACAACAGTCTTTCCTGACCTCTGAGCATAGTAATGGGAGGTGAGGGTGTCGTGTATTTGAGGAGCAGGTGAGGCAGTGATTTCAGCCCCCTAAATAATAATATAAAAAGGGGTTGGGATGTGGCTCGGTGGTTAAGCCCCTCTGGGTTCAATTCCCAGTAGGAAAAAAAAAAAGTAATTAAGTAATTGGCTAAATTAATAAAACTCCATAGAAGGACTAGTATTGGAATCCATTGTACTGTTTGTGATGATATTGCTTGCTATTTCATTTTCTATTGCTCCTAGTTATGGTTCAAGATTCTTCACACAAAGGCTCTGTGGATTCTAATGTCTGCTGACTTGACCATTTGTCAGGTTGGGTCTGTTTGGTGGTCTAACCAGAAAGGGCTTCTGGCACCTGGGAGAAGTTTCCCCCATTCCAGAGAACCTTAAATTTCTTGTATCTGGGAATGGCATTGATTCCTCTTTTGGCACCTGGCTCACATTCTTGTGTCTGGTTGTAGGATTGGCACCTGGGGAGTAACCTCCAGCGAGAGGCCCAGATTCAGTCTGCAGAGATCTCCCTTCTGGCCATCCTGGCTGCTGTTCAGGCTGTGGAGAAGAAGATAGAATCCCAGGCTGTCCAGCTTCAAGGCCTGGAAGTGAGAACAGGGATAGCTGAGAAGAAGCTGGCTGACTATGAGAAGACAACTGTGGAGTTCAGCAACCAACTAGAGGGCAAGTGGGCCGTGCTGGGGACCCTGCTGCAGGAGTACGGGCTGCTGCAGCGGCGGCTGGAGAACCTGGAGAACCTGCTGCGCAATGGGAGCTCTTGGATCCTGCAGCTGCCCCCTGGCAGCAAGGGGGAGGCACCCAAGGTACAGGAACTGAGTCAGTAGGGTCCTCACAGGCAAAGCGCAGAGGGGCCCCTTGACTGCTGAAGCCTGATTTCTTGGCACCTAATGCTAGTCAACCATGGACTTTAAGGGTCTTAAAAACATCAGAAGGAAATTGTGACACCAATAAGATGTCTGTGTTGGCAGATGGAATGGGTTTATTAGGAGGGATTTTGTTGTACAGTAAGAGTTGTATGTCTTACCTGGGTGTGGTGGTGCACCCCTGCAATCCCAATGACTTGGAAGGCTCTGGCAGGAGGACAGTAAGTGCAAAGCCAGCCTCAGCAACTTAACTGAGTCTTGAGCAATTTAGTGAGGCCCTATCTATCTCAAAATTATATATGAAAAAAAAAAGGCTGGCTCGGGGGTGCCGTGGTTGTGGTAGAACCATGCCGTGGTAGAACACTTGCCTAGCATGTGTGAGGCACTGGATTTGATTCTCAGCACTGCATATAAATAAATGAATAAAATAAAAGTCCATCAACAACCAAAAAAAGATTTTAAAAAGGTGGGGGTGGGGTGGGGATGTGGCTCAATGGTTAAACACCCGTGTGTTCAAACCCTCGTCCCCAAAAAAGAAAGACTTGTCTTATTTATTTATTTATTTATTTTTATTTTTTTAAAGAGAGAGAGAGAGAGAGAGAATTTTTTAATATTTATTTTTCAGTTTTCGGCGGACACAACATCTTTGTTTGTATGTGGTGCTGAGGATCGAACCCGGGCCACACGCATGCCAGGCGAGCGCGCTACCGCTTGAGCCACATCCCCAGCCCAAAGACTTGTCTTATCCCAGAATGACCTCTGAGAGTAAGACTGGCCCAAGTAGGGGAAGTCACCGAAAGTCCTTCCATGAAAGCCACATGGAATAAGATACATTTGTGCCTAGAAAAGAGGAGTTGAACAACCAGACATATGAAAAATTTTGCTCTATATGTATAATAAGAATCGTAATGCATTCTGCTGTCATATAAATAAAAAATAATTAGATTGATTTAAAAAACCTGCTGCTTCTGAAAATATATATAATATATTAAAAAAAAAAAAAAACTACCAAGCCAACAAAAAAGGAAAAGAAAAGAGGAGTAGACCCTAAGAGCCCTGACTCCGAGTCCCTTAGCCACCGGTTCTGCCTATTGTCCAAAGCAAATATGATGGAGAGGAGCTGGCATTTGCCTAGTGGTTTGACCAGCTGTGCCCTCTGGTTGGGGAGAAGGGAGAGGAAACTACAGCTGGTTGTAGCTGTTCCCTGAAGTGGTGGTAATTCACTGTGGGCCTGGGGGACTTGTACTTCCAGGTGCCCATGACAACTGAAGAGGTGGCCATGTGTTTCTCAGAGCAGCAGAAGGGTAGCTTACAAGAGCGGAAGAAGGCGCTCTGCAAGCAAGTGGCAAAGGAAAGCTGCAAGACTCTGGGCTCTCCAGGTGAGGGGCCAGGGTGGGATCATCCTCTGCCTTCGCAGGTAGGTAGTGTCCTTGCTTCCCGTTTTTGGGTCTTATGCAGTGAAACACAGCA